CACAATGTCCCCGGTTTGATTCCAGTTGTTGCATGTTATATCCCACTCTCACTCCCCTTGTTTCCTGTCTGCTACTATACTGCCTTTTATCAAATAAAGGCAAATACGGGTAAAAAAAAAATCCTTTTTGTATAATTATCTCATCCTGTTTTCAAGATGAATCAACTTCAAGAACATTATCTTGTATTGGCCCTAAGTGTGCAGAGATCTTCATATTCTTCATATATTCTTAACCAGGACTGTGACGGAATGAGGGAGATCAGCGCATCAGAATTATGAACAACTGCATTTGTTTCAAGAAAACTCAGGAAACCGGTTGGGGGACTAGGTTGGAAGAAATGGGTTGAAACAATAATACTGTCGCAGATCTTTTCACCTTGTTTAAAGAAAATAAAACTTATAGACAGGTGACTTGTTTTTGTACCACATCCACAAAACCTGTTGTTTCATAGCAAAAACAAAACCTCTAAAACTCACTCGCAAATGTGCCCACTCGAGAGCCCCCATCAAGCGGCTGCCTGACAAATTTACGGAAACACAATACATAAAGATGTACACGGCAAGCATACACTACAGTCACAACGGGCAAGCAGAGAGCAGATGACCAGTACATAAGGTTCCTCCACAAACAGTCAATGTCACTGTGCTCTGTCCACAGAGCAGAGGGACACTCCACAGCGCAGGGAGCAGGAGGTGTTTTGTGTTCTCTACAGACCGTGTTGTCGGGCTGCCCAGTGACCAGAGAGTACAAGAGCTATTGCCCCTCTCCCCTCTCTCTGCTCATCTCTCCCATCTTATAACATTAAGACTGTGCCTCTCTGTGCTTGTATCCTTGGCAACCTGCCTCCAACAATGGAGAGAGCTCTGGCCTCAGCATGGGAGGAGTACAGTGCCATGGAGAGGAAAAGCAAGGGCGAGGGAGATAGAAGGAGATGGAAAACTGGCAGACAGGCTGGGAAGAAAGGGAGAGTGAAGGAACGAGTGTTTGACGCGCGCGGATGTGTGGGTCAAAAAGAGGTAACAGAGGGAAGGGTTAAGCCGAGGAAAGAAGCGAGACAGATGAGACGTGGATGACGGAGCCAAACCTGTGCAAGCTGTGAGCTTAGTGTTAGTGGATCAGTGGAGATCTGTGTCACTCTTGAGCTGATAAAAGTTGGACGGAAATCAAGATCAAGGCAGGATGGATCTGGACCTTGAACCTCGATCACACCACTTCACGAGCCTCTCAGCAGTCCAAAGCCTGTGAAGATGCCACCGAAATAGAAGACAGCCTTGTTTGACGCAGCTCTAATTCCATAATCAGAGTTCTGGCACTGCAGCCAACATGGAGCTGATTATGTGCACTGATCGTGTAAATCCAAGTTTGATTTTACAAGTTTTTATTTTAATTTTCCATTCCCTTTATTTGAATCTCAACAAATCCCTCATTAAAAACATTTTCAAACACACTGAAATTTTTAGAATAAGAGTTCAGAACAATATTTGTATGCAAAACCACAACTTGTTAGGGAAACCACACTGTTCTGCAGGGGAAAATCATGTGGGACAAGAGAGACAAAATTGCCACAGCATGCTTCCTCTATGACTACGACACGTATAAGAGGTAAGAACAGTGTAAATCCTACTCTGTGGATGGAGGGGAAAACCAGAGTGAGGGACGTTTGCATACAGAGGACTGTGTTCATCGTCTCTTCCCCCACTGCAGCCAAGCTGAACCATTGAGATTAATTGCTTATGATCAAATCAGCAGAAGCTGTGCAAATTAAAGAGCGGGGCCAGGCCACACCCCTCCTCCTTCACCACCACAACATCTCCCACCCACCCCCCAGCCAGGCCCAATGGACAGTGCGTGTGACGAGCCCCAGCGCTTATTCAAGGCTACAAACTTGTCATTTCCTCTTTTCCCGGAGAGGAACATAGCTCAGAAAGGGCTCGAAATGGAGCAAGGGGTCGGTCAAATAGTGGATGCGTGTGCACACACATACAGTACATACAGCCTCACATGGACATGCACACACACACACACACACACGCACACACACACACACACACACAACACACACACACACAGAGTCAAGCTAGCTTGCATAACTTTGCTGTGTCTGCTGTGACAGTGCAACTTCACCGGGGCACCCATGCTGCCTCAAGTGCTGTCGGGAATATCAGAACCACCATGTTGGGTTGCACCTGAACGACCCACCTCTATCAGACTGGGGAAAGTGAAAGTTCCCAGTCAGTGTTAGCAGTGAGGCGTTCAATAAAGTTGCACAAGAGCTGCCTTTGGCTAATAATTCATAGAAAGGGCGCGAAGTTTACTACTGCGCATTCAGCACGCCGCTCTCCGAAAGTAAGAGTTTCCGAGGGGCACCTGAAGGCAGCGTTCTCCTACAGCAGAGCACCGTCGCTGTGAGATCACTCATCCAAAATCACCGTCACTTCACTGCTACAACGCCTGCAGCTGCCCGCGCGCTGCCTCCGCGCTCACCACAAACTGCGCACGTTCACACGCACTGACACTAAAACACAAGTTTGATATTTCCGCCGGACTCACCGTTAGTTGTCTGCTTTTTGACAGTTTGTCGGGAGTCTCCGAGCGTCGCTGTCACCGCTACGATCCGCCCACCCGAGTGTGCACTCTGCTGGCCGCAGACTAACGTGCTCCTCCCCGGAGAGCCTCTGCTCCAATCACAGGTCGAGGTCGCTGACTGGCTGTCGTGTTGTCCAATGGGATCGACGCTACGCTCTGAGTGGCGATGGTATTGTCCAATAACAGCATTCAAACCCTGGGCAGACCTTTCGTCGTCACTTAATGTACTTTTGACGGACACCCTGTGCATACAATGGAGTAGTTTGACTCCTTTTACGGGACGGTGCCGGTCCAATCGCCGGGGGGAACGGGCTCTGAGTGCGGACACGGCCCAGGAAGACGCCCTGATACCGCCCAGATCACTGGAATGTCACCGGGATGAGTCCGGTCAGAAACAAGAATATACACCGGCAAATTCACCTGTATTATAGACGGAGCAGGTAATGATAAATAAAAAGTGTGACAATTGAGTTTAATTCTTCTCAAACATTTCACGACAAATTACAATTATGTTTAATATCTCTGATTTAACTTTTGATAATGAGTTCAACTAACGCGGACGATAGACAGAAACATCATGTTTATTTAATGTTTAACTCAGTGTATCCGCCAACGTTCCCCTCTGTGATGGTAAAATTACAATAACTTTCCATATTAAGAACCTCTGAAGCAGTTGGTAGGTTTATAGTGACACCTTGTGACTGAAATGGCTAACAACAGTTCCATGCCTCTCTCTTTCTCTGCATCATCTGTCAGCCTCCTCCTGCCCCTCCATCCAGGACCGAGCACCCAACCTGGGGTGACAGGCATGGCCTAGCCAGCTATGATGTCACTGGGATCCAGTAATTATTTCATTTCAAGAAGATTCATAAACAATCTATACCTTAAGTGTGTGCCTGACAGCTGAACGGCTTTGTGCATGGACATTACTGCACACACAGCACAGTCCTTACATGTTCGCTGATAAAGATTTTAGAATGACAACATTTCCTGATTCCTTCTGCTCTCTGATGTTCCAACAGGAAATGAGGCACAGATATAGCTGTCCAGTGATTATACCAAAATCTCTCACCTCATTTATCACTTTAATTCATTGATCAATAATGAGAAATACCTCTTTTTATTTTATTGTACATAAGAATTACATATATTTTCTTTCTTATTTTAGATGGTATTTTATGTTTTGATTATATATTCAATTTAAATATAAATTTAAACAACAATTTTATACAACTTCCTTCAATCTGTGGAACTTGACAGTAACATTTTTGCAAAGAAATAAGTCAAATTTATTTTCCAGCACTTCTTCTTTCTTCCCATTGAACAGCCATTTTTTGTGGCTGGAGCAACCACCAAATTTAAAATCTGCCCCTGCCTGGCTGCCCCACAGCCGTTAGTACTTACACACAGGGCAGTAGGCTAGAGGGAGAATCTCCATCTGTGTGTTGGCACTGACATTATTTCCTAAGTGATTATTGTTACTCTCAGAATGCATTAAAATTCATACATTTATACAGTAGTCTTTTATCTCAGGGGCATGCAACTCATTATTTTACTATTTCTAAAATCATAGCGGCCCCCTCCCTCTGGAAATCTCTCCCTAAACACAACTGTGACTTGCAGTTTTTAGAGCCCTGCGTAACAAAGTGTGAAACCTTGTCAACAATAGCAAAAGCATTTTAATGGGCTCATTATTGGTGCACATTTCAATGTACTGTTTGGATTGTACAATAAACAAATACAGTGCAGAATTCTTACACTTGTCCTATCCTTACATCTTTTACAGGCACAGGCCAAGAGGCCCAGGGGCTCAGGGAGCCTCATAGAGTCTGTATGAATGACTGTTGGAAAGTCACAGAGCTCAGTCACAAGTAGACTGTTCCTCTTTATCTCCAATATGGAGCCTGAGCTAATATTTATCTTTATTTGAATTTTGTAATGTTTCTCTTCATAATACATAGACACATTGCAAATCTAGGCTACAGTAAACCTATTCAAATGAGAAAAGTAATTTAAACATGTTTGCTCTTCTTTAAAGAAAATACAACATGCATTACAGGTTTATTTGTGGGGAACAGTGTCAGTGTGGGTCTGTTGTGGCAAGCTTTGATACCGATTCAGACAGACAGTTTCTCTTCATCTCCAGCTCATTAGTTCATTATGCTCAACCAGCAGCAGGTTAACCTGCAGAACCCCTCCAGAAATATGACTGCAGGGGTGAGGTGGGTGGAAGGGGGTCCTTCATGTGCGAACGCATCAGAATGTTTCTAATGCGTTCACAAGAAACCAGAAAGTGTTTCTGTTGTGGAACGACTGTTTGAGGGTCTCCATGTGGACGATTTCAGGAGCTATAGTCATTATGTTCATATTTTTTCAGCTATATGGAAGATGAAGAAGGAAGTTACTGGAAATATTGTGTAAGGATTAATTGTTCAATGTGGTCATTGTATGAATTTTAAAAGCCTGATATGCATTCATGACACAAGACTGGGGCCTTTTCTTATTTAAAAAATGGTTTCTCTCAGGAGAGCAGAGTGCTCTTCAGGACTAAAATATAAAAAGAAAAAAAAAGTTCAGTTCTTCCCTGAGCAGAGAGAGTGCAGGTTAATAAAGGCAAAAGTTTCACTAGAAGTCATAAGGATCAGTCCTGACATCATGGTTTTGCTTTCAAAGAGGTTTATTGAAAGAAATATTTTGAAATTTTATAAAGTTCAACCATTGATAATGCTATCACACAATCAGAACCTGGAGCTTCACCATTTCCCCCTCCGACTCTCTTCAACATTTGATATGAATAATGTATTATGAGCACTCCACTGGCCAGCCCAATGTTATAGTAAAACTGTAGTGAACTACAGGGAGTTCAAAGAGTCTACACTATTAAAAAGATGAGTCATTTTCTAAACATCTGTGAGTGTCTTGGAAAATTACACAACTCAGAACATTTCAGCACATTGTGTGTTAAAGATATGCTATTGCTATCACATTTTAACACCTCATGCACTGAAAAGAAGGTAAGATTCCAAAACTGCACTCGGATGTGTTGAGAACAGTCAGTCTTCAGTGCGTCCCAGCAGGAGTTGTAATATTTTAGGTGCATTTGATTTAACTTTCCAGGCAGGAGTGAAAACACGGCCCAGACAAGGAAAATCAAGCACTCCTTGCAATTGGGAACAGTTCTGCCCAGGACTGCCACACATGCATCACTCAGTTACAGTGGTTTGCAACCAAAGATACAAATATACAATATAATATTGTATCATCTAGGATCACTATATTTGCAGCTATTCAGTACCCCTCTCTTCCATGACCTGGAAGTAGTATGTATATATATGTATATATAAATATGACTCTCCCGTAACCCGGAAGAATTCAGTGTTTCACTCTACACACAGTTTGCAAGCATACAGCAAAAATCAGCTGCTTTGCACGTCAAACCCTCTCATTGCTGGATGGTTTTCAGCGCAGCATGCAAGTAAAAATGTGCACAATATTAAAAGTCTTCAGCTTCATCACCCTCATCACCATCATATCCATTTTTACCATGGATGGACAGCCTTATCCACATCTTTTTTTTTTTAATAAGGTGATTATCTCCATAAGAAATTAGAGCAGACTTTATTTATTTAGTATATTTTCCTCTATAGTATTCTGCATTTCAAAGCATGCCAAAGACATTTTTCAGTTTCTGCATAGTGCTGGCTATACGAGTGCCAAAGAGTTTTGATTCCTTTACAAGTAGTAGAAGTTGGTATGTACAGGCAAGGAATGACAGAGCAGATCCAGTGCTGTGTAAACGGTACCAAACCCCCCCTCCCCAAGTGCTCAAAATATCTACAAATACAGGACCCACGTCTGTCGGGAACTCTTAGAAAGTTGAACAGAGCTGAAAAAAGCTCAGCAGTATGGAAGAGCCATTAAGGAAGGTGTGTGTGTGTGTG